TTATTAAAAGGGAGACAGAAAAACAGCATGAGTCCAAACAAAGAGGTCTCCCCATAGAACTCACAGGCTGTGTTAAGACCATGCCTGGTAAACAAGAGAAGTGTGGGACTGGAAAGCGACAAATCAAAATGGGTGTGTCAGAAACTAGGCCTAATTGGTGGACAAAAGAATGAGAGGAGAGGCTATTCCTCCCCCCCCATTTTGGGGTCCTCACAAAGAGAGTTTGGGGGGAATAAGGAGCAGGCTATCATGCAGCTGGCTGATGAAAGGCAGGGAAAGGAGCAAGTTTCACCATCATGGCCTCCGTGCCCACCATCTCCTGGGACTCTGGACCTTCTTCTGCCTGCACAGGAGCAGCTCCAGCTGCAGCCACGGTCATTGAGCAGCCACTGACCTACCGCTGCTCAGCTTAAAAGCAGGCCTCCTGGCTCCCTGCAGCCAATCAGGCGGTCCTGCCGCGACCCATTTGAGCTTATTCATCCGCCCAGAGCTGGTCTGGCTAGTCCACAGGTTCAGCTGAAGGCACTCACTCCTGAGCCTAACACTGTTTAATGCTGGAGCATTGAAGTGGGTCGTGATAACACTGTTGATTCTTTGGGCCCCTCTTTTCCACCTAAATTAATTGAGGAGCTGGGCCTAAGTGACTTGCCCAAGGTCACACAGGAAGTCTGTGGCAGAGCAGGGAATTTAGCCCAGGTCTCCTAACCTTGTGCCCCTAACCACTAGGTCATCCTGTCCCCATCTGTGAAATACAGGCATGCTGATCTTTACCTGCCTCACACAGTGCAAAAAACTTTGGGCTCTTTGTATGAAAAATGACATTACAGTCCCCCATCCCTAAGGGCATATTCTGCCCTCACTTCCTCTACTGCCAGAGCAGTTCTCGTGGGCCAGATTCTGATCTCACACTCGTTTTGTACTGATGGAACTCCACTGAAGTCACTCTTAACTTATACTTATATATATACTTATACTTATATATCGTGCAGGAGACTGGAATCAGGCTAAATGGTATGAGTGGAGTCACTCCAGATTTATAGTGGTGCAAGATAAGAATCAGGCTCTCGGACGAGAGCCGATGACAGCAGAGAAGATTTCAGAGCTCTCTAGAACGGGGTCCCCAAACTTTTTATGTTGCACCCCCCATTATCTGTAATGGAGCCTGTCCGCCCCCTGCTGGCAACCATGGTCAAGAGCTGGGAACAGGACCGGAGCTGCGGTTGGAAGCCGCCCAGGGCCTGAGCTGCAGCTGGGGCTGGAATGGAGCTGGGGGCAGACTGCACTGGGTGGTGCTTCCGCCCCACCTCCTTTGGGGGGCTGGCCCAGGCCCTGCCACACACCCCAGATGTTCCTCCGGGCCTCGCTATGGGGGCACATCCCACAGTTTGGGGACCACTGCACTAGAAAGCTATTAGTATTTACCCTGTGTCCTTCTTTTCCCATTCATTGGTTTACGTGAGGACTCACTGCTTAACGCTAGGGTGACCAGATGTTCCGATTTTATAGGGACAGTCCCGATTTTGGGGTCTTTTTCTTATATAGGCTCCTATTATCCCCCGATTTTTCACACTTGCTGTCTGGTCACCCTACTTAACGCTGACTGGCTGACCCTGCTCAGATTCCAAAAGCAAGGGTGGAACAGCCCCTCTGACCCTCTCTATTGTCTACCATGCCCTCGCTAAGTGGCAAATATTAAAGCAAGCCAACGAAGATGACAAAGGTTGCTGCTTAGCCAACTGTTAAGTGTCTGGAGCAATGTATGCACCATTTACCCAGGCCCTGGGATGGGTGGTGACGGTGCCAGGATAATATAGTCAATGAACGTAAGATTTTCAGGACGTTGTCCATGTCGGATGAATTTATGCTAGACGGGAAGATCTTAATTGAGCTAATGAAGGTGAAGGGTCAAGGTGAGCAGCGTCCCTGACTGATTTCACTATCTGTCAATCTCGCTCATTAACGCTTAGCAGCATTACTGGCTGTCGGCACATCTTCAGTGCCGAGACATGTGCTTTTCTCCAGATGATTCAGCACCACGTTGGGCAACCCGGGGCGTGGTTGCACTCAGAAAGTTAGTGATCGCAAATCACCATGGGGGCGTCGAGGAAGTCACTTTGGGCAAAACAGTTCAGGCCCACGGCAGGGGCTCTGAGGACAGAACTCGCGCACCTGCAAAGCAGCCATACTATTCAGTTGTGGCAGAGCCGTTGTGATGTACACACCTGAACTCAGAGTGCTATTATCCCCAATGCACCAACAGGAAACTGAGGCACAGAGCAACAAAGGGCATGTCTCTACTGCAGGTCTCTACATCTTGTGATTGCAGCTCAAGCAGACACCTTTCCGCTGGCTTTAATCTAGCTAGCGCCGGTACCGGAGCAGGGCCAGTGCAGCAGCAGTTCACGCTTCAGTGTGGTCTAGCCCCACGAATAATTGCCCGGGCCTCCAATGGGCTTGTACCACCTGCGCGAAAGTACATGCTGCTGGGGCTTGACCGCTTCAGAATTGGAGTTAGCAGGATTAAAACTAACTCAGGTCTGTGCACTCAAACTGTAACAACCACCCCCCAGGATTGCAGAATAGCCACCCCCTCAGCAATGTGCCCCAGGTCAAAGAGAAAGACTGGAGCAGCACAGGAAATTGAATGCAGGTCTCCCAAATGCCAGGCTAATACCTAACCCCTGGATGGTACTTTCTCTTCCTTTCAATCAGGTATTACGCACGTGACAGTGGCATCCTGGCTTAAGTGGCTACACTGATATTGACCCTGGGCTAGCTCTTTTGGGTCTATAGCCCATTTCTGCAATTGACCAGATCAGCTGTTTGGGAAGAGCAGAAAAAACTATGCTCAGCCCCCACTCAGAGTGACTCTCCATGAGTAGGTTTCGCTGCCTTTGTATTTCCTGCCGGAACTGTTCAGAAGCCATTTTTCCTTCTTGGTGGCTGGGTCAGTTTCCTCATACTGGCTCTGCCCCTTACTCAGATAGCTCTGCAGGCCTGTAACCCAGAAACGTTGGGTTTGTTCACTTAAAAAAATTGAAAACTGTTCTGGAGAAAAAAACCAGACCCTTCCTGTCTGCTTAGCTGCTAGTCCCAGTTTGCAATGCACTGGAGCCAGTGATCTGGACCAGAGGCAATAGATGAGGTAGAACATAGGTTAATCCACAATGGTTTGTGTGTTCCTCTAAACTGTGGCGGTTCTTCTGATGGCATTAACCTGGCCATGTGCCTGGTGTCTGAGACACTACAGTGCTGAAGGCTGGTAGGAAATGAATGCCCTTGCAACAGGAGCTCAGTGGTACTCCAAGGAATTCACCCTGCAGGACAGCTGGAGTTTCCGGGCTGCAGGATCACTCAGAAGTGGTGCATATGGTTGTGTAAGTTAGCCTCCCCTTTGGTGGGCATGAAGGAATTTCAATCCAATAACCTTATCACCTTCAGGGTAACTACACCTGTATTCCCTCTCCAGGGTGTAGCCAGGGCATAGGCTCCTGAGCTGTCACCCCTCCTGGGCAGAGACCTATCTCTCTCTCTCTCTCTCTCCCTCCTGACCAGGGTTTTTCCAGGCTGCACAACTGCCTACACTGTGAATGCTCCAGCAAGTCAGACTGCCTAAGCAGGCCTGCTTTGCCTTCGCTTCAGAGACTATGAACAATTCTAAGGCACCACACAGCTTTTCTTATGCCACCACATTTATTCTTAAGGTGAAAGCATCCAAGAGAAAACATATTAAAAACAATAAAAGGACCTACGCGACTACACTTACCAGAGATCACCCCAACTCCAACAGGGGCTCTCACAGTGTCAGCCCCCTCACAGGGTTTTTCTGGGGTTACACAGCCATGACACCTTTTGCTCAGCACAAGAACACCCATGACTTGTTCATTCTTTCCTTTAAACAGTTTGGGCCTCTGACCTTGTCCTCATGTAACAAGTGATCAGCTGCCAAAGGTCCCCTCCTCAGGGTGAAGATCCCAAAGGCTGGGTTCTTGCCTAGGCGGAGGAGTTTACATTTGCATACCCTGCCCCTTAGAGACTTCCGGGAAACCCCATTTTAACAGGTCATTCTTGTCCGACACATTGTTTCAAATCGTCTTTTGACGTTTATAACCCTTCCCAGGGGTTATGTTAGGCAAGTCTCCCCGCATAGAGCTGTTGCATATAATCCCACAATAGTACATAACCATTTGTGGTTTTACTACAACGAACACCTAAGATACTTAACCCAGTAACATTTAACATAACGCAATGAGGTTTGCCTGGAATATTGCAGCAAACTGCTGTATCTCTCGTGGTCCTCCACACCCCTGTGATCCTGGCAACCCTCAAGCTAACCTGCTGAGAGGGAGCCAACCAAGGAGCGTACAGGTGCTGCGGGAAGTGGCGCTGGTGTTTCAGGGGGTGGCACTGTCCCCCCGAGGGTACTGAACGAGGTTGGGGGGGTGCTGTCAGCTAAAGGGGAGGTGTAAAACCGCAGTCTTCATCACAGATAGCCATTTACGCTCCCATGATGTTGCTGGGCACTGTCAAGCAGCTCTGCGTTCCACCCCAGAGGTGGACAAAGTGCTGCCTGTCGATATTTGTGTACCGCTTTAGGTGCCTCTTGGGCTGAAAGGTGCGTGAGGAAATGTAACTGTTCGAAAATATTCTTCTGCCAAGAGCAAAGCAAGGAACCGCCCCATCCTGGGACCTAACGGGAAAGTGAGGGCCTCACCAACTCCGCTCGCTGACCCCCAGCGGCCCCGATTGACTGTGCCAATTAAAGGAAACTCGTAGACGTCAACTCATGTCTCGCCATGTTTGGAATAAGTGCCAAGGAGCAAATGATTCCTTCTTCGCTGACCTCACATCCTCGACCCTGGATTATTAGCAGTGCTAGTTGGTGTGAAAAGCAATGCCTTGTATTTTTTAAGGGAAATGAGTGACGATGGTGGCGGCACGTCTAAGTAGCTGCAGCGGGCGCTATATATACCGGCACCCCGGGAGGAGCGGAGACAAAACCTGGAGGGCTTTCCTGAGCCCACTCGAGAGCGAAGCAGGGTCAGCAGCAGCCACCATGTCTCAGAACACTCTCGCCATCTGCGTCTTGTGGTTCCTGGCTCTCTCCTCGGCCTGTTACATCCAGAACTGCCCCATCGGCGGAAAGCGCTCAGTCCTGGACATGGATGTCAGAAAGGTACGTGATGCATTCCTTACCGTCGGGGCTGTTTAGGGCTGGGTAAAGACACCCCATTGACAGCCTGTTAGCGTGACGGTCCCAAGCTGCCCTGATACTGTGCCAAAGCTCTCACCTCCTGCCCAAAAGGATCCCGTCCAGGGCGCGACAGGGGAGATTGCTGGCAAGGGGCTGAGCTGTGCCGGTTGCGATGGTAGCTGTCTAAACCCGAGCAACTAGACACGCGTATGTTTTGATACCCTGATCAATACCACAAGCAGCTAGACTGTGGCTCTCCGATGCCCTTCACACAGCTGTGGTGTGAATTTTGTAAAGCTTTGAACAAGCATTAACGAATATTCATTACCAAGTCCCTCTTTTCCTTCCCTTCTCCTATGCCCCTAGGGTGACCAGTCAGCAAATGTGAAAAATCGGGATGGGGGTGGGGGGTAATAGGAGCCTACATAAGAAAAAGACCCAAAAATCGGGACTGTCCCTATAAAATCGGGACATCTGGTCACCCTATATGCCCCATTCCAACCATCTCTGTGTTCAGTGTTCAGCCAATCAGGAAAGCATAGACTATAGTGTATGCCAAACTCCTGGGCAGTAGAGAAGTGCATCTTGTGATCGTCAGGACCACATTCAGCCAATATATTACCTACGCAGCTAACGCTGAAAGTATGTTTGAAAAATAATGGAACACACATGAGCCCCTTTGCAGATGAGTGGTAAGCAGCCAGACTTTTCAGTCTTGGTCTTGTGGTTAAAGCATTGGATGGAGACTGAGAGGGGAGCAGGAGATCTGGATTCGATCCCCACCTCTGCTACAGACACCCTGTGTGATCTTGGTCAAGTCCTTTAATCTCTCTGTGCCTTACTTCCCCATCTGTACACTGGGGATAATAATCTTTCCTTTAGCTGTCTTGTCTCTTTAAAGTGTAAATCCTCCGGGGCAGACGCTGGCTTTACTGTGCGTGTGTACAGCACCCGGCCCAATCAGGTCCCATCTCAATCAGGTTCTCCAGGCACTATTGCACTACAATTATAAGCCCAGCTGTATTGAGGACATCAGAAGTCTAGCTTGGTGGTGAATTGTAAATACTGTTACAAGTGTAGATGTCTATATCAGATTGCCTTATAGGCAGGACTGGGAGCAGCATCTATTTTGAAGGTTGTCCAATACTTCCCCACATAGGCCTGCGTTTTCAGTTGCTTATAACTTTGCCAAACTTCAACTGCTTGGTTTGAAATGTACCATGCTGGGTGTCTGAATCAGCCTGAATTTTCTTCTGAAAGGTTCAGCTAAAATATCTTGGCCACTTCCAAGTATGAGATGTGGGGACCGTTCATTGTTTTGCCCACTTCAAAAAAAATTCTTAAATCTGTTTTGTTGAGGCGCTCTAGCATCCCCATTCTTTGGAGACGGGACCTGAAATTTGGGAGTGGGGTCGCCCTGGTATCAGGGATGCGCCTTTTGCCAGCCCCGTGGAATAAACCACTCAAATGTGGCCACGTCACAAGCCTCTGCACTTACTTACCAGAGATGTGTCAGAGTTTGGCAGATAAATTCTCTGAAGATTCCACCTGCACTGAGCATGTGCCAGCCCCCCACAGGTGCTACATGTGACTGGCCTGTGGATGACCCATTCCCCCAGAATGACTGAGCAGGACTTTCCCTGCAGTTGTGCTCCCAGTTACTGTGGGCCGGCAGGGAGCAGGCACTGTGATGCCAGGCTCCAGACTAACAGCAGAGAAGATGCTCTCCTGTGCTCTCAGCAACCCCTTGTGGGTGCCTACGCGGCTTGGAAGAAGCTGCCTGACTCAGATGCAGAGGGGACAAAAACTGGATTAGGGCAGTGGCAGTGGGACTGCCCTGGAGCAAGGTGTCTTGTGGGGGCTGAGAGCACATGCTAATAGGCTCGTGCTGAAACACAGAGGAAAACACCGCAGGGATGCAGGCAAATAGTCTGCATGGCACGTCAGGAATGCCATCCAGCGGGAAATGGCCAGCCAAGAAACAGCTGTGATAGCCCAGCGGCCCAGCAGCAGCATCAGTCAAATCACTGATGGCCGGTTACCGAGCGCCGGCTCTGGGAGAAGAGCAGTGTGGGCAACATAAGGGGCAGTCACGACCTGAGATGAGTTTTCAGTGCTCTGCTACATGTTCCTCCTGCTGCCTGTCCACAGGCACAGTGGGGACTGGGGGAGAAAAGGCCTGCAGCCTTTCCAAACCGATGCCACACTGTCAAGAGCGATTGTGCTTAGGAGGAACATTTTACTGATCATCTTCTGAGTCAGTCTGTAATGTGTATACTGTACACATGAGAGGAGATAATATCCCCAGCATCAGCTAGACTGGGGAGCAGGAGGGCAAAGGGAACAAATCCAATCATACTCCCTGTAACCCCATTTAATCAAACGGTTCTGAGGGAGGCAAAATGTTCTGGAGCAATATTTCCCTACAGCAGGAGGCCACTGCGTAGGAGGGCCACAATTTGGGTGAGGAGGGAATACATTTGCGCTGGTTAGAGTTGAGAAAGACACCCAACGGTTACTGATGTATTAAAATGATAGGACAAAATTCTGCTCTCTGTTGAGCCGCGAATGAGGCTGGGACGGCCCAAGTAAAAGCAAAGTCTGGGGGTGGGGGTTAGGTCTGTATTCATTCATGTGACCTGCATTTTGCACCGTTTCTTCAAAGCATCCCTTTCCCTAGCCCATGAACTGCTAATTCAAACGATAGGATCTGTCTGCTTTCAAGTGCATGGGGAAGGGCTGCCAGGGGATTTAACCCTGAACTGATACACAAAGGCACCAGTGTTTTGTAGAACCCATCACAATAGCTGCCCCACTGCCCGCCTCGGGACATTGATCTTCAGGCAAAACTTGGGGACTTTCACATAAACAGCATGATCTAGCCGGAGCCCGGGAAAGCTGTTAGCACAACGAAACATTGTGCTTAATAAAAGAAATACACAGCAGAATACAGTAGGAGACCCAGCCCAGCAAGCGTAGGGGAGTTCTCTTAATAGGAGTCACAGGCAACGTATCAAACGCTACTGTGGTCAGTGGAGTTACACCCTGGATTAGTTCAGCCCAATTTGTTCAGGATGGTTTCACCTGTTTATTAAAGGGGCACTGTCTAACACATAACGTTTCCAAACAATTCCCTCCCTGCGCTGGCAACTAACCCCGTTAATTATTTAACAATCACAAAACAAAATTATCCTTTATCCCTCCCATTCCCAGCTTGTGTTTGCTTCTCCCTCCCCCACTCTCTCATGCACTCATACCACCGCGCTAGAATCGTGACAGCCCCACTGGTCAATGTCAGTTTGGGGTGCTGATAGTTATTTTCTTGTCGGTTTCACTTTCTGGGGATGCAAGCCCAGGCTAGCGTGGCTGGGGTTCTGACCCCTCCAGAGCACGTCTCATTCCCCACCCCATCCAGTTCCACAGAGCAATCCCAGGAGAACATTTCGCTTCCTAGTCAGGTTTCTAATACCAGTTGAAAAACTAGAACTGAAGCGCTAGGCCTGTGCTGAACATACAGGGGCTCCTTAGATACCGGGGCTCCTTAGATACCGGCACATGATGGCAGAAAGACACCATCTATGCACTGAGCACAGTGGCAGTCTTTCCAACGGGCTTTGAATCAGGACCCAAGCAACCAGGGATGCTGTTTTCCCCGTTAACCAGCCTTTGGGTTTCTCTCTCCCACCAGTGCATCCCCTGTGGACCTAGGAACAAAGGCCACTGCTTTGGCCCTAGCATCTGCTGTGGAGCGGAGATGGGATGCTACTTTGGTACCTCAGAAACCCTGCGATGTCAGGAGGAGAATTACCTGCCGACACCCTGCGAGTCTGGCAGGAAGCCATGCGGGCCCAACGGTGGGACCTGCGCAGCCCCTGGGATCTGCTGTAACAACGGTGAGAGAGCACTTGCTTCGCTTCGACTTTAACCATAGCTCCATATGAACGAGCACAATCCCTCCCACCCAACCCTGCAATTTATGGCTGTTAAAAGTAACACTTCATGTCTATTCTCAATGCTCTCATGCACTTTTAACATGGGGAAGACGGGCCTTGTGATTAAGAGACAGGATGGGGAGGGTAGAGGAGGGGCTTAGTAGATATGAGCTTGACCCCTGCCTCTGCTACAGACTCGCTGAGGGACTCTGGACCAGTTGCTTAACCACTTTGTGCCTCCATTTCCTCATCAGTAACGTAGGGATAATTATACTTTCAGCCTCAGAGCTACATTCACTGATGTTTGGAAGCACTTGGACATCTTTGGACGGCGCGCAGTGGCACCGTGACTTCAGTGCTGGCGCATGCGCAAGTGGCAAGAGTTCTGCAAAGGCCATGGGCCATTATCTACTGCTCAGGCCATAGTATTTGTGGACAGAGAAGAAGTGGGGAAGTTAATATTGGTGGCAGTCCAGCAGTTTCCTCCTTTCCCAGAGGAGAGAAGTCTCAATTGGCCTGGGCATTGCCTTCATTGCCGCAGGCAAAGTTGGCAGCAGTATCACATCAGGCCAAACCCCATGCAGAGGTGAAATTCACCCAGCAGGAATAGTTTAGAATACCTCTCCCTTGGCAGGAAAGGCACCACCCACACATCCTAGGCCAGATCCTAAAGTGTGTATCTTGGTATAGTACCATTGTCTTCCATGGAGCTATACGCATTTACATCAGCTGAGGATCTGGCCCCGGTGTTATCTAGCAGAGCTATACGTAACTCCAGTGGCCGAGTTCATGCGTTGTTTCCTTTTATGTGCGTTTGTTTCTCTTCAGAGGGCTGCATGGTGGACTCGGCCTGTGACCAAGAATCGCTGTTTTCCTAGACCACCCGCTACACAGGAGGGATGAAGCCACAGGATTTGCCATCTACGAGGCTGTGCAAGACCAAAAGCCAGTCCAATAGGATGCATTAATCCTGGCCGCGCTGCGCCTCGGCAGTCATTCAAATGACATCCCCAGCTAGAAATAAAACTTGTACCAAAAAATCCTGCTATTTCCTTTTTTCCCCCTTGGCTTTGTAACAAACTCAACAGCTTCGCTGTCTGCCTAGCTGGGAATCACATCCCCCCGCTGGACAGGAGACGCTGCTTCTTGGTACAGCCTGGATGAGGGAGGAGAGGAATGTAGGTGATTTACCTAAGCAGACAGTTAAGGACCAGGATGGGGATTTTTGTGATGCTTTCCAGCAGTCCCCAGGATTGGGAGGCACCTCGCTACCACCTGCCTTTAGCATGAGGGAGCTTTGTCTGTGCCTGCCTGGAGTCAGCTCCCTGACATCTCTGACAACACAAACACTCCCGTCCAGGCCTACGTAGGCCTACTGCAACACGCCACCCCTCAAGCCCTCTGAGCGTATCCGTGGGGTATCCAGCCCATGGTCACTGGACACTCGCCGAGTTCAGAGCCACTGCTCCCAAAGCAGCTGCACCCCCCTGCTCTACCTCAGATCACTGCTCCGCTGCACACACAGCGCTGAGGTATGTTTAGAGAAAACAAGCAAAAGTGTCGTTAGCAAGTGCAGAGATTCGAGCGATAGCACGAAGCAGCACTGGAAACAAATGGCTACATTTCAAATAAAATGCCAACATGCATTTTAGACCCTAGACTTCAGTAACAAGATAATCTCCTGTCTAATGCAGTATTACCCACCAGCCAGCCCTGCCTAGGATCTCTCTTTCATGAGACGTAACACGGTGTCAGCTTGCCTCCTCAGTGAAAGGATCCAGGGTGCATCTGGGCACCCCCGGTGATATCCCCACAAGCCTCCACTTGTAAACTGGAGGATGCCCCCTGCTGGTTGTTTTTTCATGTATACCTTTCTTCTTGACTGTGCAATCTCTTGATTAGCATTTGGTTCAGTGTGCAACCAGGCACCCATTACAAAGCATACAATACCCACAGGACCAAAGAGAGAGTAGTAAGCACCTCCTGCCTGGGGACCTGTCTTAACTCCTAGCCTTTAAGAACATATAGATACATAACTCCTTACATATTATCCATATGTACATTTTGCAATGATTACAATGACTAGTGGGCTGCTGGCTTTCGATAGCCACCTTACGTACCCTTTGGTGTACTAACATGTATATACCTGGCCCAGGGGATCCCTGACAGCCTGTAGGCACCTCCTGTGCCCTCTGCCAGTTGGCATCAAGAGGTCCCTGGGTCACAGTTTTATCCAGCACCCAAGGGAGGTTCTCTGAAAAAAACAGGATCACTGCATGCCAAGGACCTGGAAAGCCATACTAGGAATTAAGAGCGTGGGGAACTGTGTATGATCAGAGCAATGGCCCTGCCACCCAGATGCTCTAGGTGCTCTCCCAAAAGGATGGATGTGGGATTGAGGAGGTAATGCTAGAAAAGAGAGCAGAGAAAAAGAGGACCATGTTGTGCTGCTGTTAAAGGGTAATCAGAGGAAATATAACTACGAAGGATTTCTAAGCACCTAATGGCAGCATATGCACTGAAAAGCAAAGTCTCTTTTTAACCTGCTGGGTGGATAGTTCACTAGATAATATGAACACAAGAACGGCCATAGCAGGTCGGATCAAAGGTCCATCTGGCCCAGTATCCTGTCTTCCAACAGTGGCCAATGCCAGGTGCCCCAGAGGGAATGAAGAGAACAGCTAATCATCCAGTGACCCAGGCCATTGCCGATTCCCAGCTCCTGGCAAACAGAGGCTAGGGACACCATCCCTGCCCATCCTGGCCATTGATGGACCTATCCTCCAGGAATTTATCTAGTTCAGCAGTTCTCAAACTATGGGGCAGGACCCCAAAGTGGGTTGCGACCCCCTTTTAATGGGGTCGCCAGGGCTGGCTTAGACTTGCTTGGGTTCGAGGCTGAAGCCCGAGCCCTGGGCCGAAGCCTGAGGTATTCAGCCCTGGGTGGCGGGGCTCAGGTTACAGGCCCCCTGGCTGGGGATGAAGCCCTGGGGCTTCAGCTTTGACCTCTTCCCCGCCCAGGGCAGTGAGAATCAGACAGACTCAGGCTTCGGTCCCCCCCTCCTGGGGCCGCGTAGTAATTTTTGTCGTCAGAAGGGGGTCGTGGTGCCATGACGTTTGAGAACCCCTGGGCTAGTTCTTTTTTGAACTCTGTCCCGTGTTAAAAGATGCCAATGGGGGGACAGAAGAGTTTAAATAAGGCAGAATATTGGAAGCCCAAAGGAGGTCCCTTCAATCAGAACAGAACCTTGGTCATTCACAGCTCTCTGAACAACTCACTCAATAACTGTCACAACAAACGCTAGAACAAGTCAGAAACCAGAATCTCCATTCTGCAAGAAGCTCCAACACTTAAAAAAAAACTTCATTTCAATTCGGAACAGAGAGCCACAAATTTCTGCAAAACGAATTCCCGAACTTTTGCTTTGATAGCGTCAAAACGTTTTGTCTTGACTTTTATATTAGCCAATCTATTCGACATACAGATTAAATAATGTAATATTAAAATGTTACTATATTAAAACCTAAACAAAATGCATTAAAATTAAATACTTCCACTATTTGTCAAATACTGATTGAAATCTCCATCTTCCTAGTCATTCGTGTTGTATAGAAAGGTTCTACCATGCAATTTAAAAGGAAGGGTTTTGATTAGGGACTTCATGGCAGGTGGGGGATGGAGTGCCCCAATAATCATAAGACCATGAATGTTTGGGAGAAATGCCGGCTCAATAAAACCTCCAGATTAAGAATCTATCAATGAACAGGAAAAACAGAGTAGTGAATGGCAGAGTCCAAACACTTGATGAGGAGCAAGCCACATGGAGTGCTACAGGGGGTAGTAAAGAGACTCATAAGTATCATTAATGATCTAGAGTAGGGTTCCCAGCCTTTTCCATACTGGGACCTCGGAGATCCTTCCCTCATCCAGTCAGGACTTTCTCCCATTTAACATGGGATAGAGTGGTCCCATGGGATGGGGCAGGAAGGATAGCTCAGTGGTTTGAGCATTGGCCTGCTAAACCCAGGGTTGTGAGTTCAATCCTTGAGGGGGCCATTTAGGGATTTGGGGCAAAAATCTGTCTGGGGATTGGTCCTGCTTTGAGCAGGGGGTTGGACTAGATGACCTCCTGAGGTCCCTTCCAACCCTGATATTCTGATTATATGTGCTCATGAACCCCCACAGAGAATCCATGACCTAAAGGATTTAGAGACCACCAGTGATGTCCTCTGTGCGCCTCACAGACAAACGTATTTCCCTGAAGCAAGCAAGCAAATTCAGCCATGATCAGGTTTGCCAGTGACACCAAAACCAGAAGGACAAATCCATATGAGAACTGAACCAAACCATGACATAGCCAGCAGGGATTAGAAATGTGAGCAAAGCAGGATTCAGTACATACAAATCCTAAGGCCACCTAGTGGAAACAATCCACAGAATCTAGAAGACGGCTGTCGGGAAAGCAAATATGAGAAGGATCTAGGGTGAGAACAAGTGGTGAACTCAGTGAAAACATCAAGTTCAATCTCATTACAAGGGCACAGTTAAGAGGGCTTTTATGTCTCAACTGTGTGTTTCCATAGTTTCAAACATGTGGATTTCTTTGAAAAGAAATGACCTTAACTCTGAATTACCCTGGTTTTTAATCTTTTTTCCCCTCACATTTTTAATACTATGAACTTCTTGTAAAGATTTTTTCCCCAACCTTAATTTGCAGATAAGTGCTCTCAACCTTAGAGTTTAATAAAGATTTTTTGTCTAAGAGGAGGGTTAGTTAAGGGGTAATCAGAGGAAGTAGCACTATGAGTATAGAAAGAAATTAACCAAAAAGAATTTACGCTGTAAATCAGTAACAGATCTCCAGACAGCAAGATCGTTTGGCTACAGGGCAGTTTTCCCCAAGGAATCATGGAAATGTAGCACTGGAAGGGTCATCTAGTCCAGCCCCTGTGCCGAGGCAGGACCAAGTAAACCTAGACCATCCCTGCCAGGTGTTTGTCCAGCCTCGTCTTAAAAATCTCCAACGGGGATTCCACAACCTCCTGTGGAAGACTGTTCCCGTACTTAACTATCCTCAGTTAGAAAGTTTTTCCTAATATCTAACCTAAATCTCCTTTGCCGTAGAAGGGACATTACTTCTTGTCCTGTTTTCAGCGGACATGGAGAAAAATAGACCACCATCCTCTTTATAACTGCCCTTAACATATCTGAAGACTTTTCAGGTCCCCCTCAGTCTTCTCGCTCCAGTTTGTCCACATCTTTCTTGAGGTGTGGTACCCAAAACTGAACACAGTACTCCAGCTAAGACCTCACCAGTACCACACAGATCAGGATAATTACTTCCCGTGTGTTACATGCAAAATTCCTATATAGGGTATGTCTTCACTACCCGCCATATCGGCGGGTAGCAATCGATTTATCTGGGATCGATATATCGCATCTCGTTAAGACGCGATATATCGATCCCTGAACATGCTCACCGTCGACTCCGGAACTCCACCAGAGCAAGCAGCGGTAGCGCAGTCGACGGGGGAGCCGCAACCATCGATCCCGCGCCGTGTGGACCCCAGGTAATTCGATCTTAGATACTTCAACTTCAGCTACGCTATTCGCGTAGCTGAAGTTGCATATCTTAGATCGATCCCCGCCCCAGTGTAGACCAGCCCTAAGACACTCCAGAATTATATTAGCCTTTTTTGCAACTGCATCACATTGTTGACTCTCATTCATTTTGTGGTCTACTATAACCCCTCCATATCCTTTTCCGTAGAACTATCACCTATTGTTATTCTCCATTTTGTAGTTGTGCATTTGATTTTTCCTTCCCAAGTGCCATACTCTGCACTTGTCTTTGCTGAATTTCATCTTGTTGATTTC